ATACTGTTCTTTCTGCCTGGGAAACTGAGAAAAGTCCCATGGCGTCCAAAAAGCGTCCCTTTAGGTCAAAATCGGTTTTAGACCAGCTAGAGAACAGCGATAGAAAATCAGAACCACTTGCAGAATTGAGTGATAATGATTCGCGGGGAAAATTCGTCATCAGACACTGAAAACGATAAGCTCAGTGATGTGCGAACTTTATTTCAAATGTCAGTGTTTTTGGTTTGATTATATTATTAAATTAAATTTATTATTATTATATTATTATTTTTATGATTATTTATTTATATTATAATTTATGATTTCGTGTTTCAAATTTTATCTCACCCGGGTTGTTTACTAGACTCTTGTTCGGACACAGATTTCAGTGAGTTATTCCTAAAAATTACAGGCCTACAATAAATAAACAATAAATAAATGACATATTTCCATTCAAAAAAACTGCACCCACTTTGAGCACAGAAAAATATTGACATAATCAGACCGCTAGGGAGTCTAAAGTACAGCCCAGTACACATGGTCCAGTGATCAGGAGTATGCTATGTAACGTCAACCATATAGAATACAGAGGTCAGGCTTAACTAACCACTTGTCCTTCAGAAAATTTACCCCCTTCATGACCAGGCCATTTTTTTAGCTGTTCAGCACTGTGTTACTTTAACTGACAATTGTGTGGTCATGCAAAGCATGTACCCAAACAAAATTTATATCCTTTTTTCACACAAATAGAGCTTTCTTTTTAGAGTTTTTTGATCACCACTGGGTTTCTTATTTTTTGCGGTATTAACAAAAACATTTTGGAAAAAAAACAGTATTTCTTACTTTCTGCTATAAAAACCTATCCGATAGAGAAAAATTAAAATATTAAATTTCTTCTTCATAAATTTTTTGGCCACAATATATTCTGCTACTTGTTTTTGATTAAAAACAAATCCCAATAAGGTGTGTTTTGATTGGTGTTTGCATGAATGTTATAGCATCTACAAACTATGGTATATACACTATATTGCCAAAAGTATTCGTCGTCTTGCCTTTCCACGCACATGAACTTTAATGGCATCCCAGTCTTAGTCCGTAGGGTTCAATACTGTGTTGGCCCCGCCCTTTGCAGCTATAACAGCTTCAACTCTTCCACAAGGTTTAGGAGTGTCTATGGGAATGTTTGACCATTCTTGCAGAAGTGCATTTGTGAGGTCAGGCACTGATGTCGGGGAAGGAGCCGTGGCTCACAGTCTCCACTCTAATTCATCCCAAAGGTGTTCTAATGGGGTTGAGGTCAGGACTCTGTGCAGGCCAGTCAAGTTCCTCCACATCAAAATCACTCATCCATGTCTTTATGGACCTTGCTTTGTGCACTGGTGCGCCGTCATGTTGGAACAGGAGGGGGCCATCCCCAAACTGTTCCCACAAAGTTGGGGAGCATGAAAATGTCCAAAATGTCTTGATATAGTTGACACCTTAAGAGCTCCCTTCACTGGAACTAAGGGGCCAAGCCCAAGCCCTGAAAAACAACCCCACACCATAATCCCCCCTCCACCAAACTTTACACTTGGCACAACGCAGTCAGGCAAGTACCATTCTCCAGGCAACCGCCAAATCTAGACACGTCCATTGGATTGCCAGACAGAGAAGCGTTATTGGTCACAACAGAGAACACATCTCCACTGCTCTAGAGTCCAGTGGTGGCGTGCTTTACACCACTGCATCCGATGCTTTGTATTGCACTTCCTGATGTAAGGCTTGGGATGCAGCTGCTCGGCCATGGAAACCCATTCCATGAAGCTCTCTATGCACTGTTGTTGTGATAAATCTGAAGGCCACATGAAGTTTGGAGGTCTTCAGACAGGCTTTGCAGACAATTGTGGGACTGTGATACTGCAGCGCCAATCAGACACTAACTGGGGGGGGGGGGGGGGGGGACTGACTAATACACTGTCAATGTACTAAGGACCACTCATGGGGCCCCCAGACAATAAAGGATCATGGGGCCCCTGTGTCCTTGCCCAAACTCAAAAAAGCCTATGAAAAAGGTACCAGGGGCATCTTATGGGGCCTCCTACTGACCCCCAGGCCCTCGGGCAGCGCCCGAGTTTCCAAACTGTCAGTCTGCCCCTGCTAAGGGAGGCACTGGCTGGGAATTAGTTAACATCAATGGAGAGTAAGGGGTTAAATGTGTGCCTAACTATGTGTATTATATGCAAAGTGTGCTGTTTTTTTTACTAATGATCTCTTAGTTTCTGGGATGAGAAACAGAGAGATTGTTCCCTCTGTACAGAGCTCTGTGTTGATTGTCAACACAGAGCTCTGGGCTGCCACTGGACCATTGGCCGGGACTTGCTGGCAGATTTCCGCTATGTGCAATCGTATATGCCGTGCCCTAAACCTGGAAGTAGACGATGATGTACCATTACGTCATTTTGCCCATACAGCCGCCGCCAATCAGCAAGTGGCTAAATAGCAGCAAATACATTATTAAATACATCTTCCCCAAAAGCAAATCCACCCCCCTTTCCTAATCCCGTCTCCAAAAGAAACTCCCCAGCTGGAATTTTCCCCCCTCCTTCCACCAAACAGAAGTTCTATGTCTCTCCACTTACCAGACCTCAGATTCAGCTCAGGGCACAGAGGCAGGAAAACGTCTGCATCGCTGCTCTCCCCCCTTTGGCTGTGTGTTTAAGACACAGAGCTGACAGATCACTGCAGCTCTCACTGCTTCTAATGCGCTGTTGCTGAGGCTGAGCAGCGGGGCAGCATGGACACTGACTGGGCATTCTGGTAGGAGTCTCTGGCGGAGAAAAATCAACAGAAAATAAACAATCCATAAATGTTATCAGCACATGCAAATATGTCACCCCACACTGTGCTCACAAAAGGCTTACCAAATGTGTTTGTCCCCCATTTTACTGAGTAGTCAAAACTCGCTCAATGGTATAAAATATCATCAGTTGCAGCTCCCTCCATACCATCAGATGTGACTCCTTATATGTCGGCATGCATACTAAAAGGCAACCACTCTTGATGTGTCAAACATTCGATTGTGACATAAAGGAAGTAAAAAAGCCGTCCAGAGTGTATAAACCCTAAATAAAAAGCTTTTATTAAAACAAAATTGCACTTACAAGGTACAAACTCCAGATCCGTTCCCTCATCAAAGATGGCAGCACAGGTGCACGCATGCGTGGGGACATACGCCCTGGTTTCGCCCAACCCATTTAATCGGATGTGACATCATCAGGGTTCTAGGGCACACGTCCACCAACATGCACTTATACAGGTAAACACTGCAGAGAAGACCGGTATTGATTGGTGTTCCCCCTATTACTGCAATTGGTTGCCATAGGACACAAGATAAACTATGTCACCTGAGGGAATCCTATACAACACTCAAAACCCCTTAGTGGTGAATGGTGAAACCAAACAAAACCTAAATCACAGAGGTATTTTAAGGCACCCTATAGGTACATAATACAATTACAATATAGCCCAACTATAAATGGTTACCACGAAGTACATCACACACCCTTAGTGGTATGTAAAACATTTTTTATAAAATGCAAGAACAATACCTATTGATGTTATGCCTAGTCCCCCTAGGGGTAGATGGTATAATTGCACTATATTATAAATACACAAAGATATTCCATCCATGTATGTCAAAATCCCCTATACACAAACGGCGCCCGCATTTTCAGCCTGTTCTCCCTGGGAGCGTGTGGCACCGCGATCCAGTGCCCGCTGTGTCCTCAGGACACAGCAGAACACCTTTCGCTGTACGGGACCACTGTGTGAGTCCACAGCAGTCCAATCCTTGTACCTTCTGCAGAATATCAGTCTGTCCCAGGGGCGTACTGACAACTCATGGGGCCCCTGGGCAATAGGGGATCATGGGGCTCTTGTGTCCTTGCCCAAACTCAAAAACGCCTATGAAAAAGGTACCAGGAGCATCTCATGGGGCCCCCTACTGACCCCCGGGCCCTCGGGCAGTGCCCGAGTTTCCAAATGGTCAGTCCGCCCCCTGGTCTGTCCTTGATGGGTTTTTCCTGGAGAGAAGTGGCTTCTTTGCTGCCCTTCTTGACACCAGGCCATCCTCCAAAAGTCTTTGCCTTGCTGTGCATGCAGATGCATTCACACCTGCCTACTGCCATTCCTGAGCAAGCTTTGCCCTGGTGGAGCCCTGATCCTGCAGCTGAATCAACAAGGTTCTGGGACTTGGGAGATGGTTCTGGCACTTGCTAGACTTTCTTCGGTGCCCTGAAGCCTTCTTTACAAAATTGAACCTCTCTTCTTGAAGTTCTTGATGATCCGATAAATGGTTGATTTAGGTGTAATCTTAGTAGTGGCAATATCCTTGCCTGTGAATTCCTTTTTGTGTAAAGCAATGATGACTGCACATGTTTCCTTGCAGGTAACCATGGTTAACAGAGGAAGAACAATGATTTCAAGCACCACCCTCCTTTTAAAGGTTCAAATCTGTTATACTATTGCCCCGTACACACTAAAAAAAAAATCGGACAAGGGGCGCATGTGCGGCGGCTAGGCATGGCGGACGTGCAACAGGGGAGTGCCGCCGAACCCCAGGTCAGTTAGTCATTCCACTCTGCTCCATTTGCCAGCCACCGAACTGGGAGAACGTTATAAGCTCAAGGCATATCCCGGCATCTGAATGGGGAAGATCGGGCGCTGGACGCCACCCACGCCACCTCCTTCAGACGCGAGGCCCTCGGCTCTGCACCGCTTCCTAACTAGGTCAGAATCCCCGGCCTCTAGTAGCGGTAACGGCCTCAGTGAGAGCACCAGGCATTCAGCTGTGATGGAGGGGGTAGATGTAGACCCCTCTGCGGAAACTCCTGCAGCTCCAGCTTCTACTCCAGCAACTTCTACTCTGACAGTGGACACCCTAGAGCAGGGGTCCTCAAACTTTTTAAACAGTGGGCCAGTTCACTGTCCCTAAGACCGTTGGAAGGCCGGGCTATAGTTTAGAAAAAAAAAAACTAGGAACAAATGCGGACACAGTACAGGAGATGACTAGAGACTGCGGACATAGTACAGGAGATAACCAGAGACTGCTGACATAGTACAGGAGATGACCAGAGACTGCGGACACAGTACAGGAGATGACCAGAGACTGTGGACACAGTACAGGAGATGACTAGAGACTGCGGACACAGTACAGGAGATGACCAGAGACTGCGGACACAGTACAGGAGATGACCAGAGACTGCGGACATACAACGGCGGCGGGAATACTGGGCTGGCCGCTCCATAAGACGCACAGGCATTTCCTCCCAAGTGTGTCTTATGGAACGAAATATACAGTAAATGCAGGACAGCTTGTTGGGTCAGGATCTGTGTACAATGTATAGAGAGAGAGAGAGGGGGGGGGGAGAGGAGAGATAAGGAGGGGGGGGAGAGAGAAAGAGTGAGAGAGAGAAGGAGGGAGAGAGAGAGAGAGAGGAGGGGGATAGAGAGAGAGGAGGGGGGGGAGAGGGGGGAGAGGGAGAGAGGGGGGAAAGAGAGAGGGAGGAGATCAATCATCTATTGCACTTATCTAGGGTCCGTGGCCGTGATACCCGACATGCAGCGATGGAGTCTCCTCTCTTGCTGCCCCTCTTCATGGTCAGCTCTAGGCTCCACCCTCTGGTCATGACGGTTGCATGCACTGATCAGAATAGATGGCCGGCTGGCTGCAGAGAGGCCAGGTGAGTGGTGGGGTTCATAAGCCGAGTCCACTTTCCCCTGTTCTAGAATTGCTGATCCCGTCCTCCTGCCTCCCGCCCAAGCCCTGCCGAGCTCTCCCGACCGCGGCAAATACGTCCCTGCCCGGCGGGCCAGATAAATGTCCTTGGAGGGCTGCATGTGGCCTGCGGGACGTAGTTTGAGGACCCCTGCCTAGAGGATAAATTGCAAGTATTTCTCTGAAACATTACTGCCACTATTTCTGTGAATTTGGGAAGTTAGCTCTTGAGCTCAGGGGGAGATTAGCCAGATAGGAGACCACACAGACCGCTTGGAGACTAAAATTTTGATGAACTGGTACAATACGTTCATGTCTTAGAGGAAGATAATGCGTATTTATAAACACTACATGTCTCAATGGCAAACTCCAACAGGAAGATCTGGAAAATAGGGAACGCCCGCCAGAATGTTCGTATTCGCAGTATGTCGGAAAAGGTCTCTGACTCTCAACTCCAGCGCCATTTGCTGTCTCTCTTTTTCACTTTTGCCCCCAAGGTTCCAGAGGCTGACTGACGGTTGGAACGGGCTTACCGGTCTTAGGGCCCGAAACCTCCCGAGGGCACTAGACCGCAAGACGTCATTGTTCACTTCCACTACTTTGAAAGTAAGGAGGGCCTGCTCTCCTCTGTCCGCAACAAACCCTCTTTGGAATTCCCTCTTTGGAATTTAAAGGGGACAGACTCCTAATCTCCAGTGATTTATCTCCTATTACTCTGGCTAAACAGCAGGCCTGAAGCCCGTCACCGCTCACCTTCAACAGCATCATATCCCTTATCTCTGGGGGTTTCCATTTAAGTTATTTGTCTCTAAGGATAACACCCAAGTCACACTCTGTGACCTTCTAGAAGCGGACGGCTTTCTTCAAACAACTGGGGCTCCCTCCTCTTCCAGAAGATGCACCCATGCTGCGTTCTACCCGTCTGGCTCCTCCACCACTCCATGCAAGATATGGACACGGCTCATTCTGTAAGGAAGATGTTTCCCTCGTACTCCTCAATGCCCGAGACCTCCTGGGCCGATAGACGCTCCCATACAAGTCTAATGTCTGGTGAATCTGCTGCTGTGTTTTTTCCCCCTTTTTTTTAAGGGCTCCCATCTTCCCAAATGTGCCTTAATACCTATTGCTATGCTGTAACTTGATTATACATGCCTGCTCTTAGCCTGAGGTAGGCGACCACCATGATGGGTCAGTTGCCATGTCGTCCCCTGGTGCATCAGGCCTCGGCTTGGACGACTTGGGCTACTTAGGTTGTCCAGACTTTATTCAGTATTGATATGTTTGTTTCCTGCCGTCATTCTTGAGGTTTTTGTTTTGTGCAATACATTTGTGTGCATTTAGGCTATTAGCCTCATTTGTTAACTGGTACCTCTGTTTTTTCCTTGTTTTACCTCATCGATGATATCTATTTTACATATTTTGGTTGTACAACTGATACATATGTTATTGTTTAATGATGACTTTAAGGTTTCTGTCATATAATGTCAAAGGTCTTAACTCCATTCAAAAATGGTGGATGGCTCTGAAGGACTTCCGATCCTTTGGAGAAGACATTATTTTCGATCAAGAAATGCATTTTAAAACAGGATGGCTTTTTGCGTTTTGCCTCGAGGAGTTTTCCTCAGTCCTACTCAGCTTTTGATCCCTCTGGGAAAGCTGGAGTGGCTATTTTGATTTGGAAACACTGCTCCCTTCGGGTCACTTCCTCCAGAGTTGACTCACTTTAGTCATTTTGTCCTATTGGAATGTATGTTTGGAGGTTCTCCCCTTGTTCTTTTGAATTTGTATGCACCGAATACTGGCCAACTGACATTCCTTTCTCAAACGCTTACCAAACTATTGTTCGTTATCTACCTGTAAGCCATGTACCGGGGTGGGCTCCCCAGGATAAAGTGAACTCACGAACGAGGAAAGCAACCCCAACACCAGCTTTTGCCACAACAGAATTTTACTTAAGTGTGGCAAATAAACACAACCACAAATGCTGGAATATACAATAAATTTACATACATTCAGCCCAAAGGCTGAGACCCTTGTGCTGCACAGCACGGTGCCTTCTGATGGATGAAGGTAAAAGTGAAGTAATTTACCTACTGGCGGGCACAAATAACCTTCCACACCTTACCCGTTATTACTCTAACAGAGCAGGAATCAGTGTATGGGTGTATGGCATAGGCTAGCTGTCAGGGATCTCCACGATCCCCGCAGCGATGGTCCCGGCGCAGGCGCAGTGCGCCGCCCTGTGCAGGGACAAACGGGCACTAGGTCCAGGCCGGCCGCGGCGTTCGAGTTCGCGCATGCGCAGTAGAAGCCGCGGCCGCCCGCTGGGCACCAATGGCAGCGCAGGGCGGGATATTTAAATGGCCCTGAGCTGTCATTCAGTGCCTTTCTGGTCTTACCTGCATCCTGTATCCTGCGAACCTGTGCCCTGTAAGTTTTTGACCCGGATTGTACCTGACTTTGCTATATTCTCCTGTCCTGACCCTTGCTTTGCTTGACCTCTCTCCTGGATGCCCCCTATTGGATTTGACCTGCTGTGGCTGACCTGGCGTGTGACCCGACTATTCTCTGCCGCCTGCTGCCTTGTACCTTACCGTCCTCTCTGTTACCGACCCGGCCTGTCTGACCTTGCTCATCCATCCATCCCCTCGCAGTGGGGGTCTTCACACCTCCTCATATCAGACTCTTTCCTGTGGGAGCCCTCGGCGCATACCACTACCACTGACGGACGTACCCAGTAGCCACGACCTGGTCTCGGGGTGCTCCAAGTCCATCCCCACCATCAGGGGGGCCCTGGTGAACAAGCACTCTGGGACGTCTATTCAGTGGAGTGCTAGTGGTACCGCCGGGCGGTCCCTTACACTAGCCTGCGGTGCAGCACAACAGCTTACAATCTTACATAAATCTACAGTATTCCCCCTCCCATAACTGGTCCTGTAGCATGTGCCTGAGTATTCCCTCTGAGCAAAATGCCAGACTGGCTTGAGTTTGTTGGATTTTATCAGCTCTCCAATGTGAAATGTCACAAGTTGTGGAGTCCTTCCAATGATCAGTAACAACACTTGTGGCCTGACACAAACAGAGACCCTAACTAACTAAATATAGGCCTGTCGCAGTCTCTGGAGGCGCCAACACTGAAATGAGGTGTGTGCACGATCTTACTGACCCAGGTCTACTTTGTATCTGCTGGTGACTCTGAACAGAACAAATGTCTCTCTCACAAGCATGCAATCTCATCAGCCTTCCTGGCAGCAATCTTCCTTTCTCTGAACAGCGTCTTGAACACCATAAGCTTCACTTAGCTGCAGTTCTCACACCTGGAAGCCAACGGATTCTCTGCTCACATGGCTCTTTTCCTTCACCATCATCAAAAACATGGCTGCCATCTCTCTTCCTGTTCACTGAGCTCTCATGTGTAAAAACCCCACCCCTTCCTGAATATAGAAATCTCTATGCAGTCTGAGTCTGTGCTAGGAAACAGTGACATCTTGTGGCCAAATCGCAGAATGTCAGTAAAACATTTCAAAACATTTAATTCACAATGAGAGCTGTTTCCCCATCTCACATACCCTACACATGATTATTGGAGGAGATTTCAATTTGACTATGTCCCCTCACAAGGACGGGAAGGCCCTTTTTGAATCTTCCCCTCGAAGCAGCAATGTTCCTCTTCAAAATCTTTTCACAAGCTAATAAGGGAACATCGCCTTTCTGATGCCTGGAGGGTTAGGCAACCTCTCCATAGACAATTCACATTCTACTCCATCCCACACCACATTTTTCATGTTTGGATCACTTTTTTATTACTACCCCCTGCTTCCCCTCCTGGTCTTGTCTGCGATCAACCCCATCACTTGGTCTGATCACGCTTCCTTGACGCTTAACCTTTCTTTTCCCTACTTCCCTCCCGAAAAGTTTGCATTGGCATCTTAACAAAAGTTTCCTACACTTGGATCATCTTCGAGAGCAACTATCTCAGGGTCTGGATGCATATTTTTGAAGTAATGTAGGTTCGGTCACCTCATCCTCTACTCTGTGGGAGGCCCAAAAGGCTATTTTCAGAGGACTCTGTATCTCAACGTGCTCCCATTTAAAGAAAACTTCCACCAGCACTAGGCCCAAGCCGAGGGTTGACTTTTGGGCGGGGACCATCTATCGCTGGGCTTCGAAAAGTAACTCAACCAAATTAAAGCCTTGATCCTCATAAATCTGCACAATCCCTCCTTTGGGCTAAACAGAAATTTTATGAATTCTCTAATAAACCGCACCGCTTTGCTTGTAAATAGGCTCAAATCTCAAACTCCCTCCATGCTGCTACTCCAACCAGTGGTGATCCCACATATGACCCACATGTGTGGCCTCCGCTTTTGGAGCATTTTATGAAAAGCTCTAATTTTTGCCTGACCCCGGATTCCCATCCTCCTCTTCAGAAGGTGACTTTTGACGACTTCTTCGACCCTCTACATCTCCCGGGTTTGTCACCCTCTGATCTCAAAGCTCTCAACGCGGCTGTTTCCTCCGAAGAGTTGTTGGATGTGGTTAAACATCTCCCGTCTCCCAAATCCCCGGGACCAGATGGACTTCCTTATTCTTATTACAAGTCTTTTATAGGTATCTTAGCTCCTCATCTCCTGTCCCTGTTCCAGGATCTCTTGAACGGTTTGATCCCACATGCTGATTTCACTCACGCATATATCTCAGTGATCCCTAAACCCGACAAGGATCACTCCCTCCCAGAT